GCGAGTGGGGCGCGCGGACCACGCCGGCCCGGCCTATGGAGTTTCTTTGTGCGGCTGCAGTCGGTGCCGGAGGCCGTTCCGCTGCAGCCCGGGTTGAAAGGCAGCGGGTGTGTCTTTCGGCGGCCGCGCTCCGGCTTGCTCGAGTGGCTCGCTCAGGTTGCAGGAAGCCAGCGCGGCCGCGCGGCGGGCTCCCCACGCCGGTCCGGGCCCCGGGCTTGCTCGCGCAGCCTCGCCGCTGGGGCGCCTCCGAGCCTTGGGCTCGCACCGGCGGGGAGACAAAGCTGGCGCTGGGAGGGGGAAAATGGCCCGCGAAACTGCCTCAAGATAGTGCCTTTGTTAGAGGAAACGTTGGAGCCTCTCCGAATGCGACGCAGGCCCCCGGCCCCCGCGGTTTCAGAGGTGCGGTGGTATCTTTGCGCTCGCCCGACCCGTCAGCCTGGCAGGGTTTGCGTTTCCTGCGGAGAGAGTCTCCTAAGCCTTCAGTCAACACATATGGTATCGAAAGCCTCAACCATAACATTGCAGTTTTTGCAGTTCTTGCTTTAAATATGTTAACAGACAGGACGTCCTTGTTTTACCCAGCGAAGGAGCAGAGCAGACACAGCAAACCATCCTCCACCCCCACTCTGCTGTACTTAACGGTGCACGCTGATGGTAATTAGTCTCTTGGTCCCCGAAGTCACTGGTTCAATTCTTCCGTCTGTATTCCAGAGATAATTTATTATCAAGTTTGAGTAAAGAGCTATATACCCTACTGATGATTTCTGGCTTGCGTCCAAAGAGAAGCATTAGGAAAGTCCACGTCAGGAATGATTTACCTAAGTGACTTCTACAATAGTGACGAACCACATAACTCCAAAGATGCTGAAGTTAATTTGAAGAGTTGGGAGCATTTTAACTACATCCCAAAGTGCTGGAATTAACAGCTCCTCTGCATAGAGTAAAGCTGAAGGGTTACAATACCAAAATGTTCAGGTATATTCAGGGCTGAGTCAGAGATAAGAGCATTAACTGGAAGCTTGGGAATGACAGGCGGGTAGACTAGTAATACGAAGCTCGATGCCTGTCTTATGCGAATATGAATCTTAACCTCACCCTGCTCCACTCTCAGAACGGTTTGAGCCTCATCAGAACTCAGTCACATAACTAAATTGAAAGGGTCACTCACAACATCGCAGGGTGGAGGACGTCCTATACCATGGGAGACCACTGGATTCTGGGATTCCTGCTTTGGACCTTGTCTCAGGTTGATTCAAGACAAGACCCCGTGTACAGTGACACCACAGGTTCAATTCCCAGCCCCGGAGGGGGTGGGGGGAGCGGTATAAATTCAATAAACTCAATCCTCCAAACCTGAATAAGTAGTGCTAAGTTATCACCTCTAGTCTAAGACTTAGCTTTTTCGTTTTTTTAACTCATACTTGGGACCAATCGATAATTCAGGCTAAAAAAGTCTTATCACCAGAACCTCTTCCGAAAGCACCTCTACTTCTGCTGTTGGCATTTTATCCCTCTGAGTTTATTTCTCTAGCACAAATCCATAATCCTGAGAAAGCTAATATTTTAAGCCTGAATAGTTACTTATACCCAATTCATCAGATTGTTTCTCTAAAGCCGCTTTTGATGGGAGGGAAAAATAGAGATAACATATGCTGATGCTGCAGAAATAAGACAGGGAAACGGGGTCTCATTCCTTAGAGCAACGTATGGAGGGTAGAGTACAGGCACTAAAATGGCCCCAACTGATTATGAAGTCCCTACTCATACTGTAAGAATGATCCCCAGAACACTGGCTTTCAGAGAATGGAAACCAGGATACACTTGTCAACAGTTACCTATTTTGTCAAATATTTCTTTAATAAATTACTTTCCCGGGAACTCTGTTATCTGTGGAATGATAACTATATGATGAGGGTATTCAGTAATCAGAAATAATGATTCATCTTTGTATTCATCACTGACTACTTAGTTCTAACTCGTGTGAGCAGCGTACACAGATACAGACAAGTTGTCTGCTAGTTCCTTCTTCCAAGGCATTCCTGTTCTATGCTTTACAGATTAGTTTCCTCTGAAAATCCTCCAAGAGGACCTTGAACTAAAGATGGGCTGAACTTTCTACTTATGATTAAGTAGAGAACTCAAACCCCACCTTAAATAAGTCTGCCTAGCTCTGATTCTGTAATGATTAACTGAATTCCAGGGCCATCTTAGAGAATAAACTAATAAATGTTTGTTGATAGTAAAGCTACATCTGTGCATGAGGAAAGCAGCGTATATCTTTTCTTTGGGATTCCCCTTCCCAAAACCAGGACTCAAGAAAGGAATAACTGTCTGCTGAAGATAAGCCACTTTATCTAAGAGATAGCCTTAAGCCGTAGGCATTCCAGGGAACATACACAGTATCCATCAGAAAAAATGCCCTTTGGGAAGGGAGAGTATATCCACTGTTTTAAAAAAGGACTTTGGCTGAGCATGGTGGTGCACACCTGCAATCCCAGCACTTGGAGGAGCTGAGGCAGGAGATCACCATGAGTTGGAGGCCAGCCTGGGCTATATAAGTGAGTTCAAGGCCAGCCTGAACTGCATAGTGAGACCCTATTTCAAAAATAAAAAAATAAAAAGGGACCTGTCCCCAGTCACTTCCCTATACCAGCCAAGGCGCTGTGCCCCAGCACGGGGGGGACCCAGGCAGCAGAAGACAAGAAAATTTTTTGTTTCTTGTTTGTTTTTTGTTTTTCTTCTGGTACCAGGAATCAAACTCACGACCTTGCGCTTGCCAGGCAGGTGCTGTTCCACTGAGCTAAATCCCCAGCCCCAACAAGAAAATTTTTGAAATAATCATTTTTTTCTTTTCCCAACACCTAGCAATGAAAATTAGTTACCCAAAACCAAGGCAATGTTTGAGAAAAATGAATCTTCCAACTAGCATAGGGTTAGATTCAAAAGAAGTCTAGAAGCACCAAGTTAATTAGGTCAAAATGCATGTGAATGTGTATTTTTAAAAGGGATTTGACTTCCCTATTTTCCCTTCCATCTTAGCACTTTGATAGAGGGCAGGAGGTCAGGGTGGCAACTGTGAGACAAAGGAGTGCCTAGACTCAAAGGAGAGATTTTTATATTTGGGAATGGAATCATTCCTCCCTTATCATGCTTCTTTTAAGCATATTTTCAGCAGTGTTTTATGAATCACAGGGAAAGTCTGCTTCTATCTGTAAAAATCTTCCTGAAAAGTTTTAAAGTCTTTTCTCGCATACCACAGTACTCCCCCATTTTCCAGTGTGTATGTTCTGTGATACCCAATAGATGCCTGCCTGAAACTGCAGATGGTACAGGACCCTATAGGTCCTGCTTTTCAAATCCATACACACCTATGAGAAAGATTAATTTATAAATTTGGCATATTGTGAGATTAGCAACAGTGACTAATAAGTAGAACAACTATAAGAATATACTGTCATAAAAAGTTATGTGAATGCGGTCTCCCTCTCTAAAATATCTTGGACTGTAGTCACTCATCTTTTGATGTGAAAGTATACGGTGCCTACAGGATGTGCCTATAGATGAAGTGAGATAAATGACGTGGGCAATAAGATATTATGCAAGAGTTCCTTCAGCGTAAGTACTGCGGTGCCCTGACAGTCAAGCTGATAAAAGCGGCTAGGCAGCTAATGGGCAGGTAACATATACAATGTGAAAACACTGAAAATGCGGGTGGTTCATGACTCAGGCAGGTCAGAACAGAATGACATGAGATCTCATTTCACTACTCAGAAGAAGATGCAACCAAAACCTTAGGAATTGTTCATTTCTGGAGCTTTCCATTTAATATTTTCAGACTGTGGTTGAGCAAGGGTAACTGAACCAATGGAAAGCAACACTGAGAAGAAAGAGGGGCTACTGTATGTGCTTGATAATCCTTTCTCCCTATCCTACCCATTTTACAAACTATCAAAGTTAAATTTCTTTCCAGTGTCTGATGAATTTGTAAAATGTGTGGAAAAAGTAAACAATGCGTAATGATGATTTGTGTGGCTTCTGAAACAAGACTTTCTGAATTAGAAACTTGGCTCTGAGTGACCTTGGGCAAGTTCCTGAACATGGTAAACATAA